CATGGACACAGAGTGTCAGCTCTGCCATTGTCATTAGCATGCGGTGCGTGGGAGAGAGAGCCCTGGACACTGTGCTGGCCAGAGGCGCCCTGAGCCCTGCTTGGAGGAGGTGACTTTTTCTGCCACTTGGTGCCCTGACCTCCACGGCATTGCCAGGTCCTTATATTCACATAGGTCCCGGTTCCTGTGCTGGCATTCCGGTGGTGCTGAGAAGAGTGCAGTGATGTCTGTGACATGGTCCTTTTCTAACAGGAGTCGGCAGATCCCCTGTGAGGCCCATACAGTGAACGCATTAGGCTTTGCATGTGGACGTATTCACGGGGAGGAAAAACAGCAGCTGTGGACAATGCACAAGCCAGTGGGTGTGAGTGGGTGTCATGAAAACTGTATGGATCCAGAAGTCTTCAATGTACACAACTGTCAAGGGTCACAAAATAGTATTCTTCTTTTCATTGTTCTTTAATCACTGAACAATAGAAAATCACATTCTTAACCCCTCAGGCTGTACAAAAACAGACAGAGGCCACATCTGGCCCCTGGGAAGGACGTGTCATAGTTTGAATATATGATGTTTAGACTTCTTCATTTTGATCACTGAAAAATGGTTTTTCTGGGTGGCTCACTGGGCTATGACTTATTCATGTCCCTGGCTCCTGACACCCGATCTTTGTTGGACCCTGCATGACCCCATCTTACATGAGTGTTTATTTATTTGTTCCTTTTTGTCATTTCTTCCTTCTGTCTCTCTTTGGCAGTTATCCAGATGTGTCAAATGAGCATCCTTTGATCTGTAGGATTTCTTTGGTTGTTGGTTTTGAGAACCACCTTTTGAGTACGGTTCTCATGAATGTTGTTAGTGTGCAGCCATCTTTAACTTGTACTAGAGCTGTTGTGTTACAGGGCTCATTCTCCGCTTTTTCGCTCCACACTGTCTCCTAAGGACCCTCTCTTGCTCCCGTGGGGACGTGGAGTCCTTGCTCCTAACTGGTGCATTGGGCTCCACAGACGAGCCTCCACATCTTAACTTCAATTTTCAAAGAATTGCTCTTGAGTGGTATTCTTTCTTGAGCTTCTGTGTATTTGAGAATCTTTCTCTTTTGTTCTTAGAAAGGAGATAATTTGACTGAATATTAAAAAAAATAATCATAACTATTTTCAAAGTCTAGATTGTTGTTGTTGTTGTTGTGTACTGTTGAGTCAGAAGTGACCCAAAGCTGACCCTCCAGCGGGTTTTCAGAGGCAGTTAATCACATGGGAGGAGACTGCCCATCATTCTTCCACAGAGCAGCTGGTGGCCTCTAACTGCTTTCCTGTTGTAGCACAACTTCTTGCCACTAGGCCACCAGACCTCCCCACATACCACTTCATTATTCTTCCCCCCATTTTTTATGTATCATTATCTCTTTCTCCTTTTTGCCCCTCTTCTCTTGCCCTTTTGAACATATCCTGTTCATGTTTGCCAGTTCCAACAGTAGAATGATCCTTATGTCGATTCTTCGCAGGTTGACCCTCCCTTATCCTGACCCTCTGTAGTGTTCATTGTCCATACATTTCCACTGTCCCCAGCTTCCTCCCACTCCACTTTGTTAGTTTAAAAATGATTTTATCTTATTTTAAATTAAGGGTGATCTTAATCTACGCCCTTCAGGCCTGGTTTTAATTGTTTTTGGTGAAACATTCTTCTCAATGTTACAGCACTGGCCTGTCCATTTACTGTAAAGAGGTAACTCATGGTTGCTGTGATGCTGAACACTGTGACACTGATGTGTCAAATGCAATCATGGTTACCCATGGTGGACAGTGTTTGGTGAAGCTCCCCGTTTAAAACAAGCTTGGAGGCAGGAGTGGCCTCTACTTCCAAAATGGCTTGCCTCTGGACACCCTACGAATTTGGAGAAATGATGAAAGTTGGTTATACAAGGGTCGAGATCTTTTGTTCATAGGGTTGCTATGAGTCATCTACGACTTGATGGCACTTAACAACAACAACAACAACAACAACAACAACAACAACAAGAAGCAAATTAAGGAAGAATTTACCCCCTTAATGTTAAGTTCTTTGAATTTAAACAAACACATCCAACTGTACATTCAAGACATCTAACAATTGTGTGTGTGGGAGGGATTGAATAGCAATGAAAGAATTTTACTTTTCAAAAAGAAAAGTGAATTAGGGGGAAGGGTGGGTAGGTAGAAAAGTGCAACAATGAATGAATGGAAATCCAAAATCTCTGTAAACTTTTGTTAAAATCAATTTAAAATTAAAGAAAAAAAAGGTATGTAACAATATGGTGCTGCTGTTGTAACCACCGAATCGGCTGTGACCCCTGGACCGCAGAGCTGAACCTCGCCCTGCCTGTACCGTCCTCAGCATCACACAGTCAACTCCCAGCCCTTTGTCGCAGTCACTGTGTCAACCCGTCTTGTTGAGGGTCTTCTCTTTCTCCGACCCTCCACCTTTCTCAGCATGGTGTCTTCTTCTGAGGACTGATCGCTCCTGACAACACGCCCGAAGTGAGTTGAAGTTTCACCGTCCTTGCTTCTGAGTGTGCTGATCACACTTCTGCAAGACGGACTTGTTCTTTTGGAAGTCCCTGTGATGTTCAGTGCTCTCAGTCCACAACAATATAGAATATCTAATTGTCCCCAATTCTCTAAGTGCCCCTTTTAATTCCCTCGCCTTACTCCTGACCAAAACAATTACATCAACTACCATTGAATCAAGAGTGGCATCTGCTTCCTAAACAACATGCCTCCGGAAACTTTATGAACTTCGCTAAATTTTGATAGCTGTAGAGGGGCTTCAGGCCTTTTGTCCATAGGGTCGCTGTGAATCGTGCTCAACTCGAAGGCAATCAACAAACACCACCACAACCATTGAATCAGTTCCTCCTCTTAGCAATCCTAGAGGACAGAGCAGCCCCAGTGAGGCTGTAAGTCTTCATGGAAGCAGGACGCCACACCTCACTCCTGAGGAGTAGCTGGTGGATCAGAACCACTAATCTTGTGGTGAGCAGCCGAGTGTTTAACTGTTCATCCCTATTACCTGGCAACCACGAATCCATTCCCTGTCTTACAGTTTTAGCTTTTATTCCACACAGCATAATACCACTCCATTCATTCTCTTTTAGTGTTTAATCTTACAAAGTCTTGGTTCCATTGTACTTAACCAAATACATTTTCCCCCTGCCTAAATCATTGTAGTATTATTAAAGTTTATTGTCCTCTTTGGTTTGTGGAGTGGTGGCCCCACAGCCACATTCTCCAACTGGAGCAGCTTCTCTCCAGGGGATTTGCAGGCCCCTTCCTCCCCAGCACCTCAGTGTGCCTGCTTTGGGAGAGTCTCTCACCTGATTGCTGCCCATTCTCCTTCTAAATAATTGTAGGATTTTTAAGTGTGTGGTTCTGGGGCCAATGGAACAAGGCGTTGCACCCATGGCTAAGGTCTTTTTCCTTTTATATTTACTTGGGACGCTGTAAGCTCCCTGGGTCCATACACGCCCTGGTTCTCACTGGACATGTAACGCGTGGACATAGTCACACTGTTCCCTTTCCCAACCTGCAGCCCCTTGGAGGCCAGGTTCCTGTCTTGTCTTTATATGTATATTTTTTTTAATTTTATTTTATTAATTTTAATGAAAATTTAGAGAGATTTTGGATTTCCATTCATTCATTGTTGTGCTTTTCTCCCTGCCCAGCCCTCCCCCACAGTTCACTCCTCTCTTTGAAAAGTAAAAGAAAAATTCTTTCATTGGTATACAATCCCCCACCCCCCTCGCCCCAAGTACACTCCACTATGCAGCCTTCATTCTGGACTCTTGTGATAACCATAATACCCTATCATATATCGCTTTTAAACTGTTCTCTCCCTCATCTGTTTCAATGCAGTATACATAATTTATCCAGTTTTTCTCAGTCTTACCCCAACCCTGATGTCAGTCGCATTCTACAACAGTGGCACTATGCAGTATTTGTCATTTTGTGACTGAGATCTCAGTCTTTATATAATTTACTGTTTGGAGGCTCATTTCTGATGAAATTTCCTGCTGGAGGCACTTGAAGCCTCTCTAACTCTCACTAAACAGTTGATCATTTTTCATCTTGTTCTGACACTCAGCTGAGGCTGGTCAGTTGAGGATACTGTCCTTGGCTTTGAGGTCTGGGTGCCCTTCTTGTGGAAGACCAGTGGTTCTGCTGCAGGAAGAGAATGTGGCTTGTCTGTAAGCTCCTGTGACAAGTGTTCTTCCTGCCTGTGGTGCTTGTGTGCGGAGTTAATGTCTCTGTGAAATACAGGGGAACTGCCCTTCGACCCTGCTTCTAAGTCCCCCTGAGCTGTCAGTCACTCTTACACACACTCTCACTCATGGGTTTGTTTTCACCCCCCCTTACATAACCACCCGCACCCCGTTCTCAGCAGTCAGAGCAGCCAGGAGGGCATTACTCCCCGAGACAAGGACCAGTTTTCAGTCAGGCCCTGGGCCAGTTTGTAGAGCGTCTACTGGATGCCCTTCTGACTCCTTAGTCCCTGGCATGGACTCCAGATTGGCAACTAGTGAGATAATCAGTGAGGTTTGCCCACAGCTCAGGGTGGTGGGTATGAGCTGGCCTGAGGTCAGTTAGCCTCGCACTGAATCCCAGCTGTGTCCTGCACAAGCACCTTTCCCATCTGAGCCTTGATCCTCATCCATGAAGTGGGTTCATTGTAATGCCCTCTACTAGGTGTGGTGTCTGCTTCCTAAACAACATGCCTCTGGAAACTATGAACTTTGATAAATGACGATAGTTATAGAAAGGCTTCAGGCCTTCTGTTCACAGGGTCGCTATGAGTCGTTCTTGACTCGACGGCAATCAACAACAACGACAACAACAGATTCATTGAGCTCACCTCAGATTAAGAGGCATTAGGAATAGTTTCAGAAATGCTAACAAGAAGAGACTGCCGCCTAGAAAGGAGTCTCTTGGCTTGCTTTGTACCGTTTGCAGTGACAGATGGGAAGGCCATGGTGCTTGTAGATCCGGAGCCCAGGCTAATGGAGAGGGAACGGCAAGGGGCTGGCGTGCAGCGGGAATGTCCACAGCTAGTGAGCAGACAGCCAGCTGTGGTGGCTGAGCTGGGCCTTCCTATTGGAGGGCAGCCCCTGCTTCTGAAGGCTCCTGCCTCCTCTAACAAGTCTGCTCTTGTCTTGTAGCCAGAACCCAATCCTGGAGACCTGATTGAGATATTCCGCCCTCTCTACAGACACTGGGCCATCTACGTTGGCGATGGATATGTGGTCCACCTGGCCCCACCAAGTAAGGGCTGCTGTGCTGGGACCTAGGGCTGGGAGGAGAGGGAAGTGGGGGTGCTGTGGGGAGCAGGTGACCCTGACTCTGCTCCCTAGTGGATGCCTGGTGTCTTGAGTATTGCAGGATGCCTGCTCTGTTTGTGGTGGGGTAGTGAGTGGTTCTCCAGCTTTGCCCCTGGTAACCACAGGGGTTCTGTAGCGGTGCTACGTGAGTGTCTATTAGGGCAGCTCCCTTTCTGTGCTTTACACGTCTTTGTATGAAACAGGTTCACCTAAAAAATCAAAACCAAACAAACAAAAAGACCAGGTTCACCTCTCAGGTGTAAACCCCCTGGAAGGGCACAGGTGTTGGGCAGACAGACTTCATTATGAATGCAATTTCTACCCTTCAACTATGCTTGTCAGTTAAGGCTAAACATACTGGGACTTTTGACTTTTAAAAATTGCTCCTTAAAATTAAGGGATAACATAAATACATAAATGTTGCAAAGTGCAAAAGCAGAATAAGTATGTGGTCAATACATTTCTAAAAAATGGCTACTTCCCCTTGATGGTTAAACACAACAATATACAGGATCCTGTAAGCTCCCCATGCCTGCCTCTTCCACAGCAGCTCCCTCCCCAGAGGAACCCCTGCTCCGCCTTCAGCACTGCGGATCAGTTTTGCCTGCTGGAGTCTTCATGGAAGAGGGCATGCGGTCTGCCCTTCGGTGTGTCTGCTCCTTTCACTCTGCACCAGGCTTGTTACCACTACGGGTCTCGTCTTTGGTCTCATCTTTGCATCTCGTGTCTCTTTTTCGCTGTGGTCTTTTCCATGTAGGCACACATGTCACAATTTGTCATCTGTTCTCCTGCTGGTGGACGTTGGATTGTTTCCAGTTTGGGGACTACTGTTCGTAGAACACTTGTAGACATTCTTTTTTTTTGTCCATGTCCTGATTTTATTTATTTATTTTTATTATTATTAAATTTTATTAGTTTCAATGAACATTTACAGGGATTCTGGGCTTTCACTCCTTCATTGCTGCACCATTCTCTCTACCCTCCTCCCCAGTTTTTTCTTCTTCCCCTCCATCCGAATGTCTGTTTTAATTGTCCAATTGCCACAGTGCTTGTTAAAGTCAGTTCTGATTAATCTTCTTTGTCAGTGTGTCCTTTGCCATTCCCTATCACTCCTCCCTGAGAGAGACTTCACCCTGAGTCATAAGGAAAAGGGGATGGCGTATTCTCTTAGCTACTTCCTGCTGAAAAGGGACGCTGTGGGTTTCAGGGTGAAGATCTTCTCTCACTACTCTAAAGGGCCCCTTTGGCAGTAGGAAACACATAGACTATTATGGAGATTGATTTTGGAATTTAGATGCACTCTTATTGATTGTGCTTGGCCGTACATGTTCATATCCTTGAAGATGTATCATGGGGGTGTTGCAACCTAGAAGACACAAATTTGACTAACAAGTTATAAGTACATGAGTCAAAAATTATGGACGTTGCCACACACTTTTAATTGACGACCAAGTTTAGAAACTAATTTTTTTTTTACCGTCATTTGCGGCAACGTCTTAAACATATTTTTTGCCCATCTTTTCCTCTTAACCCCACAGAGTATGTTATAGAGAAATCAGAAGTAACCAGAGATGATTTCATTCCTTCCACCCCTAGTTAACCAACGTTTACAGCCACAGAATATGCCCTTTTTGTAGCTAAAATGCAAAAAACGCCCTCTCCAACGAAACAAATAAAACAACCCCACCACAAAAAACTTCTAGCTTTGTAGAAAACACTGGTTCTTTCTTGCAGTCCTTGGAATGGCTCCTTTCACTGTTGGAAGCATTTGTCCCTGAAATACTCCTCCTTTCTAGCCCATCATCTCCTTGGCTGGGTCATTCCCATTAGTATATAAACGTGAGTAATGTCTCCTGTCAATAACACACACACCTCTCTTGACTGCACAGCCTTTTCCAGCCAAACTTCTGTGAGAGCAGTTCTCACCACGGCATTTCCTTCATCATCACCCGTGGCTCCGCATTTCCCACTTGCCTTTGTTAGCCCTGCTGTAACGTAAATGCCACAAGTGGTGGCTTTAAAGGACAGGAATTTCTTTCATCACAGTTGAGATCAGACTCCTGCCGTTGCTGCCAGTGCCGGGCATTCCTAGGTTCTTTGGTGTTCCTCGGCTTGTTCACGGTCCTCACGTGGTGTCTGACTCTCCCGTGTGTGACTCTGTGCCTGTTCTGGTCTTTTTATAACTCAGATGTAATTAGATTTAAAGTCCACCTTACTCTGTTGTGGTCTCATCAACTTAACACAAGAAAAACACTATTTTCATACAGGACCACATCCGCCAGTAAAGAAGGGCATGAATTCAGTTCACACACATACCTTTATTTTGGGTTCCACCCCTACTATTTGTTAAGCCACACCCACCATGTCTTTCTCATTAAGCACAGTTCTTTATCTTTTGTCACTGCTTTGGGCCAAACTGGTCTCACTGTAGTTAGGTGTCTTCTTCATTTATTTGTATTTTAAATTTTTTTTCTATAATTATATTTTATTAATTTTCATAAACATTTACAGAGATTTTGGGTTTCCATTCATTCATT